CTCGGGCCCGGTACCCTCGAGTAGCGGGAACTCGAAACGTGCGTGGCGGACTTCCCTCGCAGCCTCCCGCGCTAATACCTTGTACAGACACTCCTATGGACGTATACACTCGTATCGTCACACGCTCGGACGAATGCAGACACGTTTCGTGTCTACAGTCGTTACGAATTTGATATCTGATTTTCGGCGCTGCGCCCGCAGACATCTTGACCTCGCTCGCTCACGCCTCGCCGTGCGGCTTTGCAAACTCGACGCCGCGTTCTCAACACCATGACGCATACGTGCAGCAAGTCTCAGCGTAGCCGGAGGAGGAACGCACTTGTCACTCCGGCGGGAAGTTCGAGGACAGGCAGAGCCCCCGCACCCCGCGCCCGGGTCGCCCTTGTGAGTCATCCGCCCCGCAATTCCTCCCAGACATGCTTATTAACGTGCATGTCACATTCGGACGCGCCCCAGTCGGATGGACGACGACGGTGGTACGAGCGGCGGACGGTCGCTCTCGCAGCGTGTCCAGTCTGCGCCGCATCCGAAGTACGCGCCGGCTTGCGCCTCGTACGTACTACAGGGGCGTCGTGCATGCTTAGGCGTTTGGGGCGCGATCCAAAGACGCACGGAACGTGGTTCGCGAACACGCAAGGTACGTCGAAGCTATGGCATCCGTCGTTGGACGTGTAGCATGCCGCGCGCACTATACTCGTCCTCAGGCTCGTCTTGTGCACCTCGCAGTGGGGAGCTCGAGCTGGCCGAGCGTAACCGACGATGTGTGAACGCACGAGGGCGTTCGTCGCCACTTCATCCGCTTCGCAGTCGAATGGGGAGTCGGTGGGCGGGCGGGCGCGCCTGGTTTCTTCAGCTACACGTACCAGCGGCCGTACTCCCCTACTACTACAATATATTTCGTAACATCAAACTCGTATCTGTCCATCGTATCGTATTCGTGCTGTACAGGCTCCAAGTATTGCGGCGTCGCGAGCAAATCTAAGAGCCTCATGAGGGGAACAAATCCCCGGAGAGCCTCCCCGCTCGAACACCACCCGAGCACTCCAAGGACGTCCGAATCGCGCGATTCGACGTGCGCTGTATGGTATCGCATCCAGGCAGTATTTACGCCTCCACACGGGGTATCGTCGTCGCGAAATCGCGCAGAACTCGCACAGAGGCCGGGGGACAGCCCATCGGAGACGTGTCCACCCGACCTCTCACCTCGTGCGCCCCACAGGCGTTCTGGCGCGCGAAAATCGCACGCGAACGTAGCCCTGCATTGCACAGTGCCGTACGATGTGTTTGGAAGCGGCCGGTCAGACATGCGAAGCGGGGTCGCATCCGTCCGCTGCCGATAGCCTGTGTAGCATCGGGGATACCGGTGAGGACGACGAGGGGAAACGGGTTAGCCTGAAGTAGACGAGTGACATACCGTCTACTAATGTGCTTCGTGGTCGGACGCGAACAGCGTTGCGAGGCATACGGAGGGTGCAGCCCCAGAACGAGGGCGCACACCGGCCCTGGCGTGATTACGTGCTCGAGAAGACCTACATGCATTGCCATCGCTCCGAGCTTTAGGTCCAGCGTCGCAAAGCCTCGTGCTCAGCGAGGAGCACGCAGAGGTCCTCTCGCGGCGAGAAATCCAGAGCTGGTACATGGAGCTGAACCTCGCAGAACGAGGGTCCGGAAGCGGACATTGCGCGGAAACGAACTCGTAGCTACGTCCGCGCTCGGAGTCGCGTGTCCACGTCGGGGCAGCTTGCAGCAAAACTGGGGACCTCGGCGAGGAAGGAGGAAATGAAGAAGCCCGAAGGAGGAAAATGACGTACCCGCCGTCTAGAACGTCGCTTACGGAGGCGAAGAGCGCTGCGAGGATACGAAACGCGCGGCCCTCGTCCTGGTCGATGTACGGGCTCCCAGGATGTCGTCGAGGTGCAGGCGAATTGCGGATAGACTCGGCCGTGGAGGGGTGCTGTTTCGAGGCGACGGGAACTGCAGAGTAGACGAGGTGAGTGGCGGGGACCCACAACTGCGGCATCAGCAGAACGTGAACTTTACTATAGGCGATGGCGGAGGTTATAACCTCTTGTAATGAACTGTCATATCGGACGCCTATTGTAAGCGCCTGCCATACCGTACCGTTTGGGGTGAGAGACGACAATAGTCTGCCCTTTGGGATCAGACATCGCAGCATATTACGAGTGCCCTATAAGTGCTTATAATAGGGTAGTGCCCGGGGGGAAACCAACGCGAAGGCGAGTCAAGCGACGCTAAGCGGGCCCGGCACTACGACAGACCACACCGCCGCGCACGAGCACCGTGATGCAAACTTGTTATGACCTCCCGTACTCGTACTCTAGGTCAGAACCGGAGTCCTCATCCTCGTCCCCGTACTCGCCGTCTTCGTCACTTCCACCGGGCCCAGCGGAGTCATACCCATCCGAACCCGCACCGGCATCAAACATCCACTGATCATCGTCGTCTTCCCCTGCAGCTTCCTCTTCCTCGTCTTCCCCTGACCCGTCCCCGCCCTCCGCGTCGCTACCGGCCGCCGAATTCGCGCCCCCAGACCGCGCGTCCATCGCGTCCATCGCGTCTTCGGCATCCGATGACTGCGCACTCGCCGGGTCCGCCTCGGCCGCGTCGTCGTCGTCTCCTTCCGCGCGCGCGCCGTCTTTTGCCCTCCAGGGCAGGTCGTCTTCGCCACTGTCAGAGGAGGAACCCAAGGGGAGGTCGGCCTGAGCGCCGTCGGCGTCCGAGTCGCTGCCCGCTGCGGACGCTGCGTCGCGGCGGGGTGCGCGCTTTTGCTTGACGCGCGCAGACGCGCCGAGGGATTCCTCGACTGTTACGCCGATGCCGCGGTGGCCGATTCCGCCACCCAAGTAGCGCATGTACATGTCGCGATCAACATGCCTGTAAATAGTAGAAGATCAATAGGAGCTCAAACTGTAGCCCGAGGCCGGGTTCACTTACATTCCGACAAAGTAGTACCGGTAATCTTCGTCCGGATGGGTTTCGTGACGCCCGACCGAGTCAGCATAGTCAAGGCACTCAGTTGTGAGGCCGCCGTCGAAAGAGGGGATGATATAGGCACCCCGGAGGACGTCGGCGGGGTCGATAAAGTCGAAGGCTACCGCGTCCTTGTCGTGCGCATCCACGAAGCGCAGGCGCGGGATCCGACGTTCTTGGAATCCGGAAGCGTAGCTGGTGTCGAACTCGTACCAGCGCACCCAGAGCATCTCGATGCGCTGCCATGTCTTCCACCGCGAATGAACCCCGGGCCCCGTGTAGCGCACATACATGTGCAGTATCCCGACGACCCGCGCGTACCAATACGGGTGGGCCCCATCTGCGCGATCGCGCGCGAGAAGCATGACATCAGCGTGCGTACGTGGATTGACAGAATCCTGGTCGCGCCGCATGTCGTAGGTCGTGTAGTTGAACCGAATGACGCGGTGTTGATAGACAACGTCGCCGTCGATGGTGAGGTTCGCCAGCAGCTTGAGGGCGAAGGGAAGGGCGGGGTCTTCGAAAATGCGCCGTAAAAGGTGTGCGTGTAGGCGGGGTATGTAATCCTGGTAATGCAGATCAGTACAAAGCATCGTCTCGGGGAAATCTACATGCCTGTAAAGCCGGGTCGTCGTCGTTCTTCGCAACCCAGTTGTAGATATTGATCCGAGCGCTGTCGGCCTCGCCAATCTCGTAGCGGGCGGCTGGGTCACTTGCCCCCTTGAAGTCGGTTTCCCCACAGACTGCAAGGTCTTCTTTCGGACGGCATGCAGCACGGCGTCTCTTGGAAAGGCTTTGCCGTGCGCGTGTGGAAGATGTCGAGTTGGTTGTCGCTGCGTCTACGGTGCTCGCGGCGGCTGTGACTCGCTCGCGTATGCGTCGTAGCACGGCTTGGCGGCGCTGGTGCTTTGCGATTTGGACGGCAAAACCGTGCTTGTTTGTGCGTGCATACACCCGCTTTGCGTGGCGGTGTTCGAGTTCTCCCTAAGATCCCAGGTTAGTAACACATTATCGAACAGTGTAGAGCCTGAGAGCGAACTGTTGAACTTCTGTGTCTATGGCTGTGCCGGACCGGGAGTGGCAGTGATAGTGGCTGTGCATCTACCATACGCCAGCATGGACTTTCCTACTTACCATATACGTACATTCTTTTGTTCTGTACTTACTTGGCATCCTGCCATCCCTCCATATGATTCTGGTACGTTCTACGATGTTCCGGACTATTCTAGACAGCGTCCGGATTACTCGCATTACTCAGCC